CTCCCTCAGCACTGACCCTCTGACAGTGCGGCACTCCCTCAGTACTGACCCTCTGACAGTGCAGCTCTCCCTCGAAGTGTCAGTAGTGAAGTTGCTCAGAAGCTGTTCTAACTGCTGTGCCCTCTCTGTGGTCAATAGGCAGAGCAGTAAATCCTGTCTGTGAGATTAGGACCAACACAGAGGGAGTTCCTGTCTGTGTTCCTCAGATCGAGGAGGTGTGATTACACTTTGGTTTAAATTTAGTTCCCCCGATATGAATTAGTGATGTTGAAAAACTTCTTATCGAGACTGTAATATTTTTGACTGCTGCACTCACGGAAGTGTCTTCGGAACAAGAAGCTAGAACATTGTCCACGAATGGGTTCCATTTAATGTCCAGAACATTTCCCTGGTGACCACAGACCTTCGGGTAAAGAGGATCTATTCGGCCCGTCTAAGACAGAAGAAAAAGAGATGGTGGTTACTCCTGAATGGATTCTGTCAAAGATCTTGCATTTATGTAGCACCTTTCATTCAGGACATTGCGTAGCCCTTCCCAGCCAATGAAGTGCTGGCGTCAGTGCTATAATGGAGGAAAAACAGCATCGAACTGACATAAAGGAAGATCCTACAAACAGAAACTTCTTAATAATCTCTTTCTGTGGTGTCAGTTCATGAGTAAAATGTCATACGAGGCTTTGGAGGCAACTCACTGCTCTATCTTGTAACTGCACGGAATTCCAACAGTACAGAAAGAGGCCATTTATCTGCCCTGACCCTCCAAAGAGCTTCCCACCCTGCCCCATCCCTGCATTTCCCATGGCTAACCCACCTGCACATCCCTGGATACTAGGGGGAAACTTAGCATGGCCAATCCACACATCTTCAGACTGTGGGAGGAAACCCACGCAGACACGGGGAGAATGTGCAAACTCCACACAGCCAGTCACCCGAGTGTGGAATCAAACCCGGGTCCCTGGCTCTGTGAGGCAGCAGTGCTAACCACTGAGCCACACCAGTATTATGGTTTGGTTTTTGCATTTGTCTTTCAGGATAGATAGGGCGTCAGTTTAATGCTGCTTCCAAAACAGCGCAGCACAGACTAACAGCCTGTAACTGAGGGGGCACAGCGTTCTGAAATAGACTGGAGTGTGTCACCCACATGAGGTGTAGCTTGGTATCCAGCCCCCATGGCTCACCTCAACCAGCAGGCAATTTAAAACAATAAAATATTTAAGAGATGGATTTCTCAGGCTGGGTAAGATTAACGACCATCTGGACAGAAAATAAAGATATAAATTTATAAAGCACCTTCGGCTAATACCAGATGTCCCAGGACGCTTTACACTACTTCTGAAGTGTAGCCCCTTGTTTGGGAGTAGGAAACGTGGCAGCCAATTCAGGCACAGCAAGATTCCACAATCAGTAACAAGATCATTGCGCAGATCCTATGTTCATATCTGATGTCCATTGAGGAACACTCACCCCCACAAAACAGTGACACAGGGACCCCTGATACTCCCTCACAGGGGGTAGAGGGAGCAGATATTTAATGTCACATTCACACATCTGTACCCGTGAAAAATCACTCTTTAGGAACGAATGCTGCAGGATACCAGTAAATCTGTGTGTCTGTGGAGACAGGGAGGGGGTGCGGTATTAGCGATGAGCGGGGTTCTTGCACTCTCTGGTGCTGTGCGGAATACGAGGTCAGGAGTTACTTGTAGAGTTGACAGGACTGACAGCTGCAGCACCATCACAGGCAGAGCCCTACATCTGAACACAAAGTGGACTGATCGGCACTGATGTACTTCATCTGATTCAGCACAAGGACAAGGGGAGATCTGTAACCGGCAGAGCAAGGGTATTTGGGAGAGGGCAGGGTCTGCAGCCAGGGAGGGGGTTTTATATAAACCTTCCACAATTTCAAAAGAGATTATGCTTCAAAAGAACTTCATTGGTTGTAAATTGCATGAGATATCCTGAAGTTGTGAATGGTGCTATATAAGTGCAGACTCTTTCCTTCCTCACCTAAAGAAAACCAAGTCTAATGGAGATGCTTAGTTTTTAAAACCACAGAGCTGAGGTGGCCACTCAGCCCATCGTGTTCATGTTGGCCATTTGAAACAGATATCCAGAACTTCTCTCTCCCCTTCTCACCCAGTCTAAAATATTTTGATTGATGGAGACCAGTTTTACAGCATTAATGTTAGTTCTGTCCAGAAAGTGTAAATAGGGGAGAATATTTTACAATAAATTAGCTAAAAATATGTAAAGATCTTCTCTACCCATATTTCTTGAGTTGGTAACATAATGGCTCCAAGTCCATTGAGATCGGAGGGTAAATGCTGGAGTTCAGCATGCGACTGTTATTTATTGCCCTTCCACAAGGTGGCGGTGTTGTGTGTAAAAACCAACCCTTGCTCCAAAGCTGAAACTCTCAAACACAGAGTGCTGGAGAAACTCTGCAGGGCTGGCAGCATCTGGAGAGAGAAACAGAGTTAATGTTTTGGGTCGAATGACCCTTCTTCAGAACTCTCAACCTCTTGCCAGAAATAGATAGGGTAAACTATCCACTTTGTCACCCTTCTCTCTTCACCTGCTGGTTTGAATGGAATGGAAGTTACACAAATTATACCAGTAGGTGGATAGGCCACTCTGAAGAGGCCTTCCTCTCGTGGTAAGACACACGGGCAGTTCCCTGGCTTCGTGTGGTTTTAATAAAAAGTTTCAATGCAAATCAACAGTGATGCTAACAGCTGCTTCCCTTACTTCTCTCAGTCCCACAAAACCTGGAAAAGCTGCACGTCTGGAATTAAGGATCTGCATTTGTATGTCACCTTTCGCAACCACCGAAATCTCCAGAGATCTGGAGTCAATGAAGCACTTTTCTTGAGGAATACTCAACATTACAGGAAAAGCAGCAGTCAATTTGTGCACAGAGACGGATTAGGAGCAGGACTAGGCCACTCTACCCTGCTAGTCCGTTCTGCCACTCAATAAGATTATGCCTGGTCTAACTCCATACATCTACCTACACCAAGAACATTTCCCCCTTTTGTTTACTGGGAATCTATTGCCCACTGCCTTAAAAACACTGCGCTGGATCAAGAGGAGAGTGTCTAAAGATACTTGTGCACTGTGAGAGGTACAAATGACCACATCTCTGTTTTAAATGGACACCTCCTGAGTTTTAAACAGTGACCCCACCACCCCAACCCCTTTAAACAACAAGCTGGTAGAAGCTGCAACACGCTAAACACCAGAAGGAACCTGCTCTTTTGTTGATGGTGATTGAGGGATAAATATTCACCAGGAAACTGACAACGACTAAAACCAGAGACTGCTGGAGAAACTCAGCAGGGTCAGGTAGTGTCTGAGGAGAGAGAAACAGAGGTTAGTCTGACATCACTCTATTTTTAAGCTGCGAGGAGAAAGGTTTAAAAAAGACATGAAGGGCAATTTTTTTTGACAAAGAGAGTGGCTCGTGTGTGGAATGAACTTCCTGAGGAAGGAGGGGACGTGGGTACAGTTACAACATTTAAGAGAGATTTAGATAAATTCATGAATAAGAAAGGTTTGGAGGGATAGAGGCCAAGCGCAGGCAGGTGGGGTTAGTTTAATTTGGGATCATGGTCAGCACGGATTGGTTGGAGCAAAGGATCTGTTTCCATGCCGTATGACTCTGAGACACTTTAGTCATATTAGATTTGAAACATTGATTGGATAATCCTCAACTCCACTTTTCCTGCCTTTTCCCCACAACCACTGATTCCCTTCCTGATTAAAATTCTATCCACATCAACCTTGAATTTACTGAATGACCCAGTCTGTGCAGTAAAGAATTTCACCGCTTCATTACCCTCAGTGAAGAAATTCCTCCTCATCTCTGTCTTAAATTGCAACCCCTTCTTCTGAGATGATGCCGCCTGGCCGTGGACTCTCCCACAAGGGGAACAATCTCTCTGTCAATTGCTCTCAGAATCTAATGTGTTTCTATCAAGTTGCCTCTCATTCTTCTAAACTCCAATGAATACAGGCCTAACCTACTCAACCTCTCCTCATATGACAGTCCCTTCAAACCCAGGATCAGCTGAGCGAGCCCTATCAGAGGCAGATGAGGGATCCTTCCTGAGATAAGGGGTCCCGAGCCAGTATTCCAGCTGTGGTCTGACCCATACCTTGTACAGCTTTAGCAAAACCCCTCCTGACTTTTACCCTCCCTCACAGACAGGAGTCATAAGGATCTGTCACAGGGGATGAACTCAGGGTCAGTCAGTGAGCCCCATCATCTTTCAGTTTCGCTCCCCAACACGAGACTGTTGCTGATCTGCCATCACTGGAGGAGGCAATGGCCTAGTGGTGTTATCGCTGGACTGTTAATCCACAGACCCTGGTAATGTTCTGGTGACCTGGGTTCGAATCCTGCCATGACAGATGGTGGAATTTGAATTCAATAAAAATCTAGAATTAAGAGACTAATGATGACCATAAATCCATTGCAGATTGTTGGGAAAAACCCATCTGGTTCACTAATGTCCTTTAGGGAAGGAAACTGCCATCCTTACCTGGTCTGGCCTACATGTGACTCCAGACCCACAGCAATGCGGTTGACTCTTAACTGCCCTTTGGGGCAATTAGGGATGGACAACAAATGCTGCCTAGCCAGTGACACCTTCATCCTGTGAATGAATAAAAAAAATGGCGCACAGGAAGATCCCATCAAACAGCTTGTCGTTCCCTTCCTCCTCCCCCATTCTCTAGTCTCCTCCTAATTTTGTTGCTGCAGTAATCCCTCTAATAGAAGCTCCAGTCCCAATCCTCTCCCCCATTTCCCATCCAAGGCACCATTTAGTCATGTTTGCACCATCAGGAAGTTTTCCCCAAGTCGCTCTCTGTTTTATTTATCTATTTACCGTTGCCTTTTGCCGAGCTGGCGTTGGGGGGATAGTCAGTGGAAGGAGCTCTGGGCTAGTGATTGCACTGTTTATAATCGCGCACGTGGCAGGCGGTTACTGTGGGCTCTTGGTCGCCGTTGGAAACACATCCTACCTGTTCGAGGGGAATGACGAGAAAGGACCCTCCTCCCGCACTCTCAGTGACAATGGCGAGGAACTTGGGGTTAATGGCACAGAAGTGGTTGTCGTGAACGTTCTTGGTGATGGAGATGCCGTCGAAGCAGTGCTCCCGACTCGCTGCCTTGCCGTAGACGTTCCTGAACTTGGAGCTGCGGTACTGCGGGCGCCATGACATCTGTAAAAGAAGCAGAAGCGACCGTGTTAATGGAAACCTTCCCAGGGCTGGGTGCCTGATTGCATTAGTGCCAGACCGGGAGGTTTAAGACAATTACAGGTACGTGACCTTCCAGTGTAAACAGTCACGCTCTCAGAGTAATCAGTCAGGTCATGTACTGTAACATCATCAAGGACAGAACTCAGATGGTGTGTGTCTGTGAGATTGTAAATAGCTGCAAATAAACTTTGAGATATCTGTTTCAACAAGAACATAGGAACAGGAGTAGGCCATTCAGCCCGTTAAGCCTGTTCCACCATTCAATGAGATCATGACCAACCCGTAGTCTAACTACAAGAGCCTTTGGCTCATATCCTTTCATTTTTTTTGCTCAACAAATTTCGAGAGACAAACATTTAACAGCTGACCCAGCATCCAGTGCTGTTTGTGGAAGAGAGAGTTCCAAATTTCTCCCAGCTTGTGCGTGTAGAACGGGAATCTTTGTGGGACATGTTGCAGGAGCTCGCTATCATCCAGGACAGCACTCAGAGCATATCACACGGGCAGTGGGGTCTCAGCCAAGAAATGCACAGCAGGCACGGCTATTGCTCAGTGCCAGTGAATGTACGAGGTGAACCAAATCCAGGCGCTGACCCTCTGAGAGCCCATGTCTGTCTGGCAAGGAGGCCTCAGTCATCCAACAATCACTGTAGGCCTTTAGCCTGCAGGCAGGCAAGTAGAGGGGACATACCCGCTGTGTGCCATTTATAGTGACACTGCCAATCCATTTGGTAACATTGCACTCTGCACAGTACAGGTCACTCTACTTATAGGAGGACATCAGTGCAGTTCAGAGAAAGTTCACTAGGATCAGGACTGGAGAGAGTGGATTGCCTTATGAGGAAAGGCTAAATAAGCTGGGCCTGTATCCTCTGGAGTTTGGAAAAGTCACAAGTGACTTCATTGAAACATATGGATAATGAACTAGAATAGGCCACTTGGCCCTTCCAGCCTGCTCCACCATTCAATAAGATCATGGCTGATCTGATTTTAACCTCAACTCCACATTCCTGCACATCTGCGATAACCCTTCATCCACTTGGTCATCAAGAATCTACCTCTGCCTTAAAGATATTAAAAGGTTCCGCACCCACTTCCTTTGAGAAAGGGATTCCACAAAATCTCAAAGAAGAAATGTTTCCACCTCACTGCTTCAAATGGGCACTCCCTTATTTTCAAACTCTGGCCCCTCGTTCTAGATTTTCCTACAAAAGGAAACCATCCACCCAGTCAAGCCCCTCAGGATCTTAAACGTTTCAATTAAATCCCATCTGACTGTACTAAACTCCACTGGATACAGGCCGAGCCTCTCCTCAGAAGGCAACCTGCTCACTCCAGGTCCTGAGGGGACTTGACTGGGTAAATGCCCGAAAGGACAGTGCTGTGCCTGACCATCTCCACAGGGTTGATGCTCCTCACTACACTACGTGGGGTCAGGTATGGCACCTCCCAACCAGCACGCCACACGTTCTTTACCAAATTCCCTGGTGCCCTTCAGAGGAATGGAATACAGTCTGTCCCGTTCTCCGTGGAGAATGTCGTTACACTAACAGATGTAAACAATCAGAACCATGAGCCTATTATGGTGCAGAGGCATTCCCTCCCTCTAATTCCTTGCCGTTAAGTTCATTTGATCTTTTGACATCAGCCCCATGCGGGGGGAGTAACAGTGTAGAGTTTTGCAGGATTATAAAGCCATGAGACCATAAAACAAAGGAGCAGAAGTTGGCCATTCAGTCCATCAAGTCTGCTCTGCCATTCAATCATGGCTGATAAGTTTCTCAACCCCATTCTCCTGCTTTCTCCCTGTAACCCTTGATCCCCTTGATAATCAAGAACCTATCTATCTTGGTCTTAAATGTACTCAATGACCTGGCCTCCACAGCCCTCTATGGCAGTGAATTCCATAGATTCACCACACTCTGGCTGAAGAAGTTTCTCCTTATCTCCATTCTAAAACGTCTTCCCTTTACTCTAAGGCTGTGCCCTCAGGTCCTAGTCTCTCCTACCAACGGAAGCATCTTCCCAACATCCATTCTGTCCAGGCCATTCAGTATTCTGCAAGTTTCAATTAGATCCCCCCTCATCCTTCTAAACTCCAACGAATATAGACCCAGAGTCTATTATATGGGAGTTGGGCTTCAATTTGTAAGGATTGTTTTTCTATTACAGAGAGAGAGAGGAGAGACAGAGAGAAAAAAGAGAGAGAGAGAGAGAAGGGGGAAGGGAGAAGACAGAAGGGAGAAGGGAGAAGAGAGAAGGGGAGAGAGAGAAGGGATAGGCTGCTGACTCCCAAACCAGAGCTCCTCCTACAGGGCAGCTGGGAGGACAGCATCAACACTGTTTGTACATGATGCCCATGTGGGAGCTGGCACAGTGATATCAGTACCCACAAGGGCAGTGACAAGGAAAACTTAAATAGTCAGACGCTTTACCAGATTGAAAGGGACCACAGGAGACTGTTGTACAAATTGCTGTATTTGTACGAAGTGTGGAGCTGGGCAGAAGGTTGACATCTGTGCACCCAACAAGACTTCAGTGTTGTCTAATCTTCCTTCTCCCTACTGCTACCTTGGCATCTGCAGCTGAGTGTGACGAAACATGTTGACTGCGTTGCCCGATTGTCTCATATGATATTAGTGGGCACCTCCTGGCGATGTTAAGCTGGGAGAGCACTCTGTCAGGCTGGGCAGTGGCAGGAGGGACTGAAATAGATGGGTGCAGCAGGGCACTTGTGGAATTTCCCAGGATGAGATCCCCATGGGCCCTGTCTGACACTCCTCTTCCCTCTCAGTGGGCAATAACACCTCACCCAGCCAATCAGATCATGCATCCGTGACTCGAGTGAAGGTCCTTTCACATGTGCAGCAGAGGTTGACCATTTGAAGGGCTGAGTGGCCTACTCCTGCTCTGAGTTCCTATGTTCTGCTGGACCTGGGCTCTCCACAGTCAGGGAGTAACCTGTTCCATGTGCATGTTGGAGTCACAACATTGGATAGAGACTCGGAGCAAGACTGTCCCAGCCCTCGGTCCAGTCTGCACATGATCACTGGCACCTCTGCTGAATACTCCCCTGCTGTCCCTGCATCTCCGTCAGCTCAGCCAGCAACTGTAGTGGGCCCCTGGTCTAGAGCAGAGACCTTGTCTGCTCCACCCTCCTGGCAGTGCCCCCCCCACCCCCGACCCCTTGTCACCACAATCTGACCCTCATCTGACTCTGGATCAATTACCCATTGAGGGGCTTTGGGGCTGGGGGAGAACAGGGGGGGAAGGCACTGACAGTGCGGCCCCTGAGGCTCAGGATCATTCCTCTCCAGAGGCAGGATCCACAGGGCTGCTGGAGAGAGAGACCACAGGCAGAGTGTGCAGGAGAGGCTCTACTTTTTTTGGGATCTGAAAGCTGTGTAGAACCACAGAAAGAGAGTTGTTAGACCTTTACTGAAGGTGTCATTAAGATATTGCTGCTTGATGTGTGGCTGGGAGCAGCAGATTGGAAATGTCCCTGCTGGATGGTTAGCAATATCGAATCTAGCCTTCAACTCTTCCCCCTGCTATCCCAGCAGCTCAACAGCCTCTCCCTGAAGGGGGTTCAGGAGCCTCATGGTCAGGCATCTCTCTCCCAGCTGGGCACACTCACATGCTCAGCTGTACATCTCAGATAGAGAGACAGTAACAAGGGCACAGCGCCACTGTACCTGTGTTGATAGACACAGAGAGAGACATCATCCCCAGAGCTCAGTGTGTCACCAGTTACAATGTGGTTTTGGGGTAAAGTTAGGAGTTAGAGGGTTCTGAACGAAATGAGGTTTAGTGTCAGCAAAGAGCGAGAGTCAATGAGACACAATGTTTACACAATGTGTGTCCCTGAGAGGTGTTGATCCTGAAGCCATGTTTTATGGTTCTGTCCTTGTCCGTGTAAGCTTTGGGTGGAAAGGTACCGGAGGTTGTGATGAGGTCAGTGAGCCGATAGTGAGTGTGTCCGAGCTCCTTTGCGCTTCCAGTGCAAACCCTGGCACATGGATGACAGGCAGTGCCTCTGTGGTGCCAGCCGTGTAACACTGGCCACTGCAATGAAGTGGCACACATCGACTCCACTCTAGTGGAGATGCCAGGCACGTGTGTGTAACAGCCGTGGTAGCCTCACAATGGGAGCTCATGCTCACAGACACGAAGCATTGAGGATAGAATGAGACACCCTCTGGTGAAGATCAGCAGGTCCTCTGTTCCCTGGTAACCCCAGGAGCGAGATTCTCTCCGGTCACCCACGGACGCTAATCCTCCTCTGGACCTCAGGCTGCCTTCACTTGGCAGAGGTGGCTTCCTGTTGGCAAAGACTTCCTTAATCTCCCAGCCAACCCTCAGGAGGAGCCCTCCTTCCTGCCTTGCTGTTTTACACATGTATAATGATTGGAGAACAATGTAATTGTACCAGACATGGTGATGACTTAGTGGCATTATCACTAGACTACTAATCCAGAGACCCCAGTAATGTTTTGGGGGGGTTCAAATCCTGCCGACAGATGATGAAATTTGAATTCTATAAAAATCTGGCGTTGAGAGTCTGGTGATGACCATAAGTTGATTGTTGGAAATGCTCACTAATGTCCTTTAGGGAAGGAAACTGCCATCCTTGCTTGGTCTGGACTACTTGTGACTCCAGACCCACAACAGTGTGGCTGATTCTTGACTGGGATTAATTAGGGATGGACAATAAACGCTGGCCGAGCAAGCAGCATCCTCATCCTGGGAATGAGTTTTTTAAAAACAACCTGACTAGAGACCCCCAAGCAGAATCATAGATTCCCTACAGTGTGGAAACAGGCCATTCGGCCCAACAAGTCCACACTGCCCCTCCAAAGAACATCCCACCCAGACCTATTCCCCTAATTACCTATGTCTAACCCAACCACCCCAGGACACTGTGGGCAATTTAGCATGGCCAATCCACCTACCCTGCACAT